GGGTCGGGAGCGGAGCGGCGCGGCTCTGTGCTGTCCGCTGGAGCCTGAAGAAGTTCATAAAAGCGCAAAGTCCAGGCTGTAATTAGCGGGAAGAGGGTGAGGAGCTTCTTTCCCGTGTAGTTGTTAGAGAAAGGCTCCTCAGGAAGAGCGCTGGAGGCTGGTCAGTGGGTCTGTGGGGTTCAACGCGGTGCTGGACGTTGGAGGGGAACGTGTGGCTCCCGGTCGTTAGTTATGATAAAGATAGTGAAAGCACTCATCAGAAATCCTGCGTATAGGTCTCTTCGCTCTTTTCTCGTGTTAAACCAGCTCCACTCACTCTGTCAGAGTCTTCCCTAAGATATTCTTCCAGGTTTTGGTGGGTTTTTTTGCAATGGTGGCTGTGCTTTGTGTTTTATAGCAGCTCGGATATTAAAGTGGTATTAAAGCAACTTGTGTCCAAGAGGCTGTGTTTCTGTTTCAAATCTTCCCGTGGTGTTTACGTGGAAACAAACAAGATCGTGTCAGTACGCGCTTGCTTTGTTGTATAGTGGCTGGGGGGGGGCTTGCCCCCGGGGCTGGAGGGGGCTCTGCTCCTGGGCCTTTGAAATGGAACCGTTCTGGTTCTGCACAGCGCGATTCTGAAGTTTCTGTGAAGTCCTCCTTCAGGCAGTTCCAGGTGCTAAGCTTACAGAAGTTATACCTAAGGGCTGTGCTGTTCTGTTGGTAAAATTATGTTGTTAACTCATATCCATGCTTACTAGATTTATTCGGTTGATGACGATGAGAAAGCTCTGTCCAGCCTGGAGATCATCGTGCCACGTGACCTAGCAGATGGGTTCGTCAATAATAAACGAGAGAGCTACAAGTTCAAGTAAGTGAAAGCCTGATCTTTATATCTTCTGCCTTTATGATGTCACTGTGTAGTGATGCTAGATCTATAGAGCCTGGAAAAACCTATTCTTAAAATGAAGCTTTGGTATAGATAGGTTTATTTTTATACAGCTCCATTAACAAGAGCAGTACTCCAGCGCATTATGCTCTGCACCTGGACCAGTGTGATAGCATTTGATAAAGTTGTGGGGTTTGTGTCTATGCATTGCAGGTCATTGTACATTTCTCTCATCTCAAAGACTGCATCTTCCTTTATCAGTTCTTCCATTTTTACAGCTTGTTTTGAATTTGTTTATGGAAATTGAATGTCGGACTGTGTGTTCTCTTGTGATCTAATGAGTTGGCATAGGGTGGCTAAAGATGTCTTGCTGTAAAGCACTGTTTAGAGACTGTGTTTCAGACATAACCAAAACACAGTAAAGAAAAGCAGAGATTGTTGAAAGAAATGAAAACATGGTTGTAGAATGTAAATAGTTTTTACAAACTAAAAATAAGTACCAGCAATATCAATCAAATATTTTTATCTTTTCAACAGAAAACTTGGAGGCAACATTATAAAATTTTGATGATGAAGAAAGCTAGGTTTATAACCACCTCTAATGACTAGGTTGAGGTTGTCGTTTTCCAAATTGAATATTCTTCAGTTTTTATAATACCAAATTAAGTAAATTTCTTGCTCTATACTATTAAAAAAGAGAGCCTCAGATAAACATCTGCAGCTCAGACTGATGTCATTTTACAACAGCTAAGGAAATCTATTCTGCTTGGAAGAGAGGAGCTGCCCTCTCCAACTAGATTAACATGCAAAACTAGCTTAGATTGCAGATGCCCAAGCCAGCTATAATGAATGCTGTTATTTTTTTCTGACTTTATCATTTATTAAGAAGTCTACAGAGATGGATTTTGAGAAACACTATGCCTTATTATTCTTAAGACAATGCAAAAATTATGCTGTGGAGCAATAATATTTTTTTTTGTCCATAAAACTCATTCTTTAATGCAGTCTGTCTATCCTGGTCACCTCAAACATTATTCTCCTTTGTTCTTACTTTATGTGGGAATCAAACACAATTGTTTGAATGATATGACGGATTAAGGATTAGCAGGAGAGAATCTGTGCCTCTGAAGTTTGTGTATCACATTTTCTGTGATGTTGTATGCACTGCATAGTCTCTTGCAGTCCATGGTGCCGTTCTATACACCTGATGTCTGTAGTGCCGTTCTATATACCCTTTGAAGTTCTCTGTGAGTATACAGTTCCAGATAGGAGGAACAACACAGCAGGGCACAAGTACTCCAGGAGGTTTCTGGAGTGTATTAATGACAACTTTCTGACATATGGTTAAAGAGCCGATGAGGGGAGAAGCTCTGCTGCACCTCATATTTACAAACATGGAAGAACTGGTCAGGGATGTGAAACCTGGGGGTGGTCATGGCTGCAGTGGCTATGAGATAGTAAAATTCAGGATCCTGAGAGAAGGGAGGCAAGCAAAAAGCAGGATCGCAACCTTGCACTTAGAAGAGCAGACTTTGGCTTGTTCAGGGACCTGCTTGAAAGAATCCCATGAAACAGATCTGGAGAGAAGTCCAGGAGAGCTGGCTGATTTTCAAGGATTGCTTCCTCCAAGCTCAAGAATAGTCCATCCTGATGAGCAGAAAATGACGAAAAGGCAGCAGGAGACCTGTGTGGATGAGCAAGCAGCTACTGACTAAACACAAACATAAAAAGGAAGTGTACAAGAGCTGGGAGCAGGGTCAGGTAGCCCAGGAAAGCCTAGATAAGTACACAGTGAGGGCTGTTGAAAATGAGCTGAGCTGCTGGGCCCAGAGAGTTGCCATCAGGGGTCCAAAGCCCAGCTGGAGGCCAGTCACTAGTGGTGTAATTGATAGCGGTTTGGATTAATGACCTGGGTGATGAGTGATTAATGAGTGAGTGAAGCTTCAGCAGGTTCACTGACAATATGAAACTGAGGAGGTTGATTGCCACACCAGATAGTTGTGCTGCCATTCAGAGGGACCTCAAGAGGCTGGAGAAGTGGGCCGATAGGAATTTCATGAAGTTCAGCAAAGTGAAATGCCAAGTCCTGGTCCTGGTGAGGAATAACCAGGATAGTCTCAGGGCAGACTGAAAGCAGGTTTGCAGAAAAGGACCTGGATTCCTGGTAAACAAGAAGAACATGAGTCAGCAATGCAACATTGGCCGCAAAGAAGGCCAACAGCCTCTGGGCTGCATTAGGCGGAGTGTTGCCAGCAGGTCAAGGGAGTTGATCCTTCTCCTCTAGTCACCACCAGTGAGATCACATCTGAAGTTCTATGACCAGTTCTGGGCTCCAGGAAAGGGTCACAAAGATGATTAAGGGACTGGAGTATCTGACATGAGAAGAGGCTGAGAGACCTGGGACTGCTTATCCTGGAGAAGAGAAGGCTCAAAGGGATCTTATCAACACCTGATGGGGAGGGGGAGGGAACAAAAAAGATGGAGTCAGATGCTTCTCAGTGGTGCCCAGTAACAGGACAAGCGTTAATGGGCACAAATTGAAATAGAGGAAATATTAAAAAAAAAAACAGCTTTTTTTAATGGAGAGGCAGTGATGAACTACTGGAACAGGTTGCCCACAGAGGTTGTGGAGTCTCCATGCATGGAGATACTCCAAACCTGACTGTACAGACCCCTGCTCGAGCTGACCCTCCTTGGAGCAGGGGGATTGGAGCAGATGGTCCCTTCCAACCTGAAAGGAGTCTTTGATTCCATAAGACAACTGCAGATATTTTATATAGGAAGTGATAAAACTTAGATTGAATATCTCCTTGTGATTTACCGTAACTGCGCAGCAGAATGAAGGAAGTAGTTATGAAAAAATGTGAGCCTGGCTATACTGGTAGGATGCTGTATTTGGTTATAGTGTAATCTATTTATTCAGGTTTCATTGTGGTGCCAGTTACAAACACTGATTCTCTTGATAGATTTAAAATACAGTTTATTTTTTTTTCTAAGCTGCATCGTTTTATCACAGGAATTTATTGTACAGATCTTGTCAAAGCAGCACTGTGTGGAGCCTATTTATGTACAATAGCACAACAGCACGCTGTGGTTACGACTACAGGGAAAACATTGTACTAAGTTATGTAAGCCTCATGATGTAAACATTGACTATTACAAACACAAACAAAAATGTATGAATCAAGTAGTGTTTGAACATTCTAAGCAATTATTATTTGCTTAATATTTTCAGATTTGAGAAAATTTTTGACCAAGAGGCAAAACAAGATGTGGTTTTTGACAGCATTGCCAAACCAGTAGCAGAATGGTACGTTGTTGATCTTGTGAGTAATTGGGGTAATGCAGGGTCAAAAATAGCTTTCATTGTATTACTTGAAGGAGAACTGGCAAGTGTTTGTCTCACTGTTGTAAAAGTGGATTGATGTTTTAATTTTCTAAATACTGGCATGTCTGAATCTAAGAGATATGCAACAATCCCCTAAGAATTTTATGTATGGTAAGGTTCCGTTATTGACTCCTAAAATAACACTGCTACCGTTGCCTCTTTTGCACACGTGTAGAAATCTATGTCTAATTATTTTTTTGTCTATAATATAAGCTCACTTCGTTGCATGAGAAAAGTATTCCCTATATAGTGCCATGAAGGGGTAAACCTAAGGAAAATCCTATCCCCCTTTTTATTTAAGTTAGAGACACCCATAAATTATTAACTGTGGAGATATTCTCATATTTTGCCCTCATTATTTTTGTCTTAATGTAGGGCATTGATTTTGGCACTCTTTTGGTTTTCTCCTCCAACAGCCCTCATATTTTAGAGTTTGCAAAGGCAAGCATTTAGGAGGGATGTAAAATCTCTTCATTCATTGTGTGGATAGAATGCCACTCTGAACCAGGTGGATTTCCCAGTATGCTGTTCTCTTTACTCAGCTTATGCCCACATTGCTGAAGTTAGTACTGGTTTTAGTGGGGGAGAAGATCCTACATTGAAGGAAGCAGACTCTCCATCATGTTTGTCTGTTCATCAAACTTACTGCTCAGAATCCAAACTTGTAGTGAGTTGGGAAGTGTTCCTTTAGGTGTTAACATCTTTCTCATCCATCTGATGGTTTAAGCAATGATTCTGCAAGTTGTTCTTCAGCCTATTGCACTGTCAAGTGTTTTGCACTGTGGGAAAACAGACATCCTCAGTTGGACACGTAGTCTTTCTGAAATTATTGCTTAGAGATGAAAATATACCTAGCTCTTCAGAATTTCATTTTCTTGATTTTTCCTATTTTCTTCTTAAAAGTCTCTCAGAAAACAGGAGGTTAATTTACAATGAAAGTAGTTTGTAAATGGATCCTCATTTTCTCTCAAGATGGAGAGCCAGTGAATTTGAAACTTCACTAGAATAAGTTAAATGTGCTTAAAAAAATTATGTTCTTACTTCACCCAAAAGAGAATTCTTTGCTTATCTGACTTTATAACATACAGCTTCAGGTTAACTTGTTTACTTGATTTCTGGGTTTGTTGGTGACTGCAGAAAAAAAATTCTGTATCTTATTTGACTGTGCTTGGAAAGAGACGGGTTAAAACTCTCGTTACGTGCTATGGATTGAATTATCCTCAACAAAAAACTCAGAGTATCAAAGCTAACTAGCAAAAGATTGATTGAATTTTTTTTTACTTTGGAGTGTTTTGCTAGAGTATGGAAAGGTTTTCCAGTTGAATAATTCACCTATTTAGTGCTCTAACAAAAAGGAAGTGGTATTGTTTTCTTTTATTTCAGCGTTGGCTGATACTAAATTTTTATGTGTTGATTTGCTCCATTATCTAGACTTTAGTTTTGATTTTTAGAGATTTTTAAGTACTTAAAAGTACTTAAATACTGTTAAAATCAATGGTGTTTTGGCATGCAATTATCTCTGAATAGCTGAGACTTTAACGCTAAAATTGATTTATAAAATCTCTCTTAACTGAATCAGGACTATTTTGATGCTGAGTGCTATCATGTGTTTCTGTTCTAATTGATATTTTTATTGTTACGGATAATATTGCAGGATAATTTTGCTTGTGTTTTTATAGTAGAGTAGCCAATACCAGAAGTATGTTCCTATTTCTCATCCTTTTCCTTCATTTTTGCCTTTTCTTAGGCAAAAATGTGTATTTCAAAATGTCTTCGTAGTCATGAGGTTCCTTGGCTAATGGAATCCTTAACTGTGCCTGAAATTTATTTCACCCTATAGTTAATGACTCAGTTTTCCTTTCCATTGTGGGACAATAAGAATTGCTCTGTTACTTTGAAAGACCACAGTCTTTCACAGCAAAATGTTCTTCACTATTTGTTTCTTTCTAAGTCGACGTTCTCTTGCAGGGAGAAACTGTTGAAGATGCACTAATTTCTCTTGTTGGAGTCACATTACTAAATAAAGTTTTTTTCTGTCTCTTATCGGGGAAAAGAAAGCAGCAGGAAAGTATCAATGAAGTAGTTCAGTAACATTTTGAGGCTCTTTGTCATGCGTACTCACAGTCATGAGAAAATTCAGTTCAATTTCAATGTTTAGAAAAAAATTTTCAGCATTGTTTAAGCTGAAAACAGCAATGCAGTGTTCAGGATTCTAAAATCTTTCTAGTTTGTTCTTGGATGGATAGAAATTGGATGCAACTTTCTTTTTTTTTTTTTTTTTTTTTTTTCTTTTTAAGTGTGCTTTCTTTGATGTTGGGCCACTACTTTTCTCTCTTTAAGTCCAGCTACATTGTCATCTTGCCTGTGGTTTCAGAGGCACCAGACATTAGTTCATTTAATTTGCTTCTTCAGTCAAAAATGCCAACCTCTGCAAACCATTAGAAGCATGTGATTTGCTTCCTTTTTTAAAAATTATTGTTATGTTAGTGCTTGAGTCATCTCTTACTTAGTTTCTTTGTTTGTATTTTCCTCTTTTGCTTTGCATTTTAAATACATATTCTTGATATTTTTTTTGCAGAGCCAACTGGATCTTTTAAGAAGCAGCACTAACTCTATTACTCTATCGAAAAATAGAGAAAATAAATAACCTTCTTCTTTTATATTTTGCTAACAATTAAGCATTGCTTTAGTCTAACAACAGAACAAGGTTGCTCTTATAATGCTTATTAGCGTTATGATGATGAATACAATCAGAAATTAAGTAGAAAATGTTAGTGCTTTGGAAGTAGTTTTGTTTTCAGTTCTATGGCCAATGTTTTCTTTTGGTTTATTCAAGAATAACATTGACAATACTTTCTCTTCAGACGTATCATACAAATAATAAGCAGCTCAGCTGTTTATAAACCGAACAGCAATCACCTGTTTTTTTGAAAGATCTGATACCGTCCAGGAAAATGTTCCCATTCCTGCAGATTTTAGTTTCTTCCCATGTGCTGTGTTTATCCTCAGGATTAACATCTGTAATATACAGACTCCTTCCCTTTACTCTTTTCTTTTTTTTTTTTTTTTTTTTCTGCTGCTTATTCTTACAGAAAATATAGTCAAAATATTTTGCAGAACAGCATCCTTACAATATTGACTATATTTTGTAATGTCTCTCTCTCCAGTTTTAGAAAATATTTCACCAGTAATTGAAAATGTTTGGGAAACATATTTACATCATTAAATTGCCTTGTAATACAAAGCCACAGGATGTAGACTAAACATCCTCATAGGACATTTCTAGCTTTACAGAATATGCTCGTAGAAATCTAGTGACCATCTTTTGCTTTTCTGACATTATTTTTTTTTCTTCCTGTTTAAGTCTGTGATTAAGGGGATATAATAAAAATATTTGGACCTGGCTGTTTTGTGAGTTTTTTTTGTTGGTTTTTTTTTCTCTCTCTCACTAACAACTCAGGGTTTTGGCTTCTACTGTGTGTTCAAGGAAAATAAAGTATCTACAAGTTTCTTCAAACTAATGAAATTTCAGTAATTTTTAAATGGATACTAATTTTCTCTCAAATAGTGCTCTCCTTTTGACCACCTAAGCTAGAGTGATGCTGAATGTGCTTTACTTTCACTAAATAATTGATCTGAAATTTGAACCATTAGATAAGAAATTGCTTGAAATATGAAATCTTAGTTTGCAAGGTTTTGTAATAAATATTTTATTTATTACAAATAAAAGATTCCAAATAAATAATAATCTATTTTTGAACATTATAGAATAAAATAAATTGAGAGATTCTTAAGAGTTTTAGATTCTTATTTCTCAATTT